AGCGCATATGGTCTTGTCCACCATGGTGAGTGCTTGGGTTTCTTGATGTAAACCACTTGGATGGATCCGTATTTCTGTACAAAATCCTCCTCCTCATCATCCGTTTCTATAGCAGAGTGACCGGAAGCTTGGACGGAAGAGCGGCTTAAGGCTTTGTTGGGGCCATCATAGGTAGAAGCTCCAGTGCCGAAATTGGGCACAGTGGCCAGGTCGCTAGACTTGTTTGAGGTTTCGTTATCTGGCATGTGTTCAAAGAAACCAGTTGAGGGTTAGGTGAATCATTAACTAGAAAAGGAATGAGAAATGAACCCTTAAATCCGACGAAGTAAGAAGAAAGTGGTCTATACAGGGATAAGCCAGATTGGGGCAGGCAGGAATAGTTTGGAATGTCCACGCATATGCGAAAAAGCAATAATCGTTCCCTGCATATGACAACGCCACAGCATCACAGCACGGCTACTTATATCTAGCCTAACTCCTGAATTATCTGCAGAGGCGGTCCAACGACAAGTTATACGCTTACTCCAGCAAAATAGAACCAAATAATGGTTCAGGATAGTTCAAGATAAGGTTGAGAGGCTATAGTAACCTTCCAAGGGGAGATAATAAAACGGCGGAAGGTTTGACGCATGGAAATTCTATCTGGCTGCCAAATGTAGGATCATGCACAGAAAAAAATTCCGACTGATAGCCAGCCTCGGAGTTTAGACCAGAGGAGCAGTTGGTCAAGTGTGGCACCGACCGCTGTATGTCGGTGTACGCATGTATACAAGCCTACTAGACCTGTAATGCATGTAAGGGCAGAGCAATGCCGTGTATAGAGTCTAGGCTCAGGAGACCCCGTTTTACGAGTCCAATAGTACTGATGTACTGGGCTGACTCTGTATCTGGTATGAAACACACCTAGAGGCTATATTATATCATATTGACCTGATACAGGAGGTCTTACGGTCCTATATACAAATAGTGAGCTGTTTTGCGACAATAGAGATATTAGTAGACTTATATAAAACAGCCCACACCTCTACGCACGTCTAGAGCTAGCACTACGTTTCAGCTCTTTCTCAACGGCAGAATTCAGACGTTCCCCACCAGCCTCGGCAAGGACGGCAATCCCGTTGTCGTCTACAACCTCACGCTGATTGTCTCCTCTGTGAATTGGTACCACAGCCACCAGTTCGTAAACGAAGAGTACTCCAAGGATCATCGTTGTCAATCCAATGAGTCGAGTGATCTCCATTTCTGCAAAGGAGAGACAGAGAATGATGATCCCGGCGGGGATACGGAATACAAGCC